TTCTTTTTAAATTATTATTATTATTATTATTTTAAACAATTATTATTATTATTATTATTATTATTATTATTATTATTATTATTATTATTATTATTATTATTATTATACAATATTTGAATGGTTTTGTGAGGACACACTTGTGATGGTCCTTAGACAGTTTGACAACATTTTTAGACTATCTCTTTTTTTAATTGGTTGCAGTTCGCAAAGATTATCTTATGTCATTAGTAAGGATAATTTTTTATCCTTTCTGCAATTGTTTTTTTTTTTTTTTTTTTTTTTTTTGTTTGTAGGTACTAAAGAAGACAGTGATTCCACATAAAGCAAACGAGTATTAACATCCCGCGATGGAAAAAGACAATGTAGATAGTATATATTAGCATACGTATATAACTTCAATTGTAATTTGTTAATGTAAAACGTTAGTGGGCAGATCAATGTAAGATAAAGCTTAGTGATTAATTATAATTTTCCATGTTCTATTCCTAACAATGTAAAGATTGTAAATATGAACTCTTTTTTTTTTTTTTTTAATCTAATCCTAAAGGCACTTATCCATCACTTCTATTTAGATTACATGCTATTAATAACTATACACTGATTACTAAACTATTTATACAAAGAGTACAAAACTAAATTAGTTAGTAAAAGATATATCTCACATGTATATTTGCTGTCACTCCCTTCTTCATTTTTGTGATCACCAAAAGCAAAGCATGTTGGTATCCAATTTTGAGCACACTGAATACATGTAAACAGCATATTAACATTGTACTTAATATAAGGTAACAAAAATAAAAATAAAAAAAATCCTAGAGGTATTTCAATAAAAATGTAATATAACTTCATCGTAGAGGTATTTCAATAAGCCTAACATAACCAAATAAAAAAAAATCCAATCAGATCTGATTAATATTTTCAGTAAACTTGAACTTATAAACCTTAAAATAAAAATACTCTAATAAAGTAAAGAGACAATTTGATTTCAGGTGAGTTCAGAAAGCATACTATAATGCAGATCAAAATATAGCTCAGATATATTACATTGAGTACATGAGTAGGGAACACACGTTTACTTAAGTATAGTGATAGCTAATTATGGAATTAAAACTTATCTTTTATAATGAAAGTACAACTGAGTTTGACAACGTGTGCATTATAAGGTCCCCTAGAGGCCACAGCCATGTTCACAACAACTTGCAATATAAACTCTCTTCAAAATCCTTTGAACCATCATAGATTATGTAGCAGCTTGCCTGCATTTTTGTCCACAATAATTAAATTAAGATACCATTGTCATTCAAATGGCGTAAACTATAATCACGGTATTAGAAAGTACATGATCATTGTATTATATATAGAGATTTTGCATTTACCATGTGTTGACACCAAATTTGTAATTGATGCTAAACAACTTTAAGATGAACTTTCTATTTGGTGATATAGATTCCACAAGATAATTACCTGTATCAAGGGAGAATAAAATAGGGATTTGTTAGAAACAATGTAATAATATTATTTTTAAAAAACAATATATATGAAAGTAGATTTTAAACTATTGTCTAGGCTTAAAACTTATCTTTGAGGCTTCATTAGCAACTGTAAGTACCAAACTGGATAACATTGGTAGTTAGTTAGTGAAAACATGTCACCACATGTTCACAAACACATCTCTTTTTATATGCAAGCTACCTGAAAAACAACATAGTAGCTTAATCAGCATCTTATTATATTTCAGAATAATTGTACTAATGAATAATCAATAAAATTATTAGGAGGAAATACTAATAATATGCAACTAGCACGTATATTCATATCACTATGCATTAAGTAGCACAACTAAAACTTTTAGTATTCCAACTTGATTTATATTGGCCAGTTTCCAATGTTGTGCTACCAATCTTGGTTGTGAAGTCTGTACTACTATATAACAATCAACATAGACATATTCTTATTCTCTCTGCATCAACACCTAAACAAAACTGCTAATTAGAACTGCAGAAAATACATTTCCAGACGAACACATGAAGAAAATTACAACTTCAACCACGATTGGTGCAAAGCGAAAGCAGAACAGCAACAACCTAGGTAATACTATATACTCTTATCCTTAATTATATTAATCTCTGTTAGATTATAGCCCTAAATACTATCTAAAAGCATATAAACCCTATGCATATGTTCTTGCTCCAAATACTATCTCAAACGCTATAAACTATATAAATTCCAGTATATATGTGTTGTGATATACATGAAGAAGATTTCTAAACAAATTTCATAATACACGAAGAAGATTTCTAAAAATTAGGTCTAGAAGCTGTCGTTTTAGATAGATATATATACAAACTACTTAGATCTGAAAATGTAGAAGAGATAGGGTTAGAAATCCTTACCCAACTTCTTATAAATTATAGAAATGGTGTAGGAGAACACCCATTTCTGCCTTGGTCCATCGTTGAGCAATCGACACATCTGCTACCACCAAGCTTCGATCTACCTAAACCCATGACAGCCGGCTGTACATGTATAGTGCTCATATATAGCACGAAACACCGTTGATAAATCCGAATCGGGGTTTTGACTATGGTCTTAACACTCAGATTGAGTATTGTTGAGTCGTATGCGTCAACCTATACTTCATAGTAAGATCATCTTGATCGCGAATCCATAGTATAGAGGGGTCGAGATGGCCAAATCGAACCCTAACCGGAGTAATGAACTCCATTTTTGTGAGAGAACCCGCAATGGGATGAGTGTGTTGAGCTTAGAAAAGAGCCTGGTAGGTGTATCTGGAAGGGAAGGACAGCGGTGAACATCACCCAAGGAGGCCAGCTGTAGACATCACCGCATTTCTCCTTTATTATTATTATTATTATTATTATTATTATTATTATTATTATTATTATTATTATTATTATTATTATCATTATTATTATTATTATTATTATTATTATTATTATTATTATTATTATTATTATTATTATTATTATTATTATTATTATTATTATTATTATTATTATTATTATTATTATTATTATTATTATTATTATTAGGATTATTGTGTTTATTATTATTAATATTAGTAAAATATTATTATTGCTATATCAATTTGGTTATTATAACACTGAAATGTATTATTATAAAACAAATACATGTATTATTAGTATGGTAGTGATATTATGTATTCATTTGATTGTTTAATTGTCCTAAGCATAAATTTGATTATTATTTACTCATAATAACAATCACGTAATCGCAGTCCGCATAAATATTATTATTATTATTATGTAAACACTAAGTTTAATTGTTTATGTATCACAACTTCATGTACTCAATTGTTTATTAATTTTAATTATTATTAATTAGTATCCTATTTGTTATTAACTATTATTAATGCAGATATATGTATTACTCTGATTGATTAATTAAAGTACATCTCGGTATGAGTAACCAAAATGGGTCCACCAAATAATACATCTGTATTGATAACATTGTATATTTCTAACAGATAATGAAGATATCAATGTTAATGGTGGAGTGTACATGCCGTTCCTTCAATCTAACAAGAATACAAGAATGGGTACACCGCTAATTGGTGTTTTCCAAACTTCACTAAGTACGCCTTTAAATATTCTTACAAATGGTAAGTGTTTTCATTTGGAACAGTTCACTACGTTAATGAATCGTTGTTAACATTAGTCGTCATTGCAATTGACAGGTGACAATGCGGTTCGAACGACAATACGGACTACCCCAATCCAAGATTTTGGTAGCAGAATGGCATTAAGAAACATATCAAATAGTAATTAGCTAAACCAATATTACCAAATTTTTAGTAAATAAATGATATAACAATCAAATTGGACAATTATTATTCTAACGTGTGTTTTTTACGCCTGTTGACTAATTAAAGTAAATGTAACTCGAGCTACCGGGGACCTTGATAAATCACCGCTAACCAAGCGCCATAATCATTTGTTTGACCTAAATAGATCACCACTCTCACAAGGTAATAAAGGTGAAATTGAGTAAATAATCTATAATCACCTGGGTTATAGATTATTCATTTAAAGGTTTTTTTCCCTAATTCACAGGTTCTTCTCTGGGGAGAACGCCAATACAGACTACGTCAACGCAAGTTTGCGGTAGCAGAATTCCGTTTAGCAACATAACAAATAGTAATAATCTCAAACAGCATATTGTAATAATATTACTATGATTTATCGTGTAGCCGAATGGAATAATAAATAGTCTAACAGGTCATTTTACAATTTCTGTTTAATTAAAGCAAACGACGAAACAGTTATTGGAGACCGCGCCATACCAACTACATCCAACTGCCGGGATCGGTGCTTCGACCTAAATCGATCACCAGATTCGCAACTAGGTATCAATATATTACCAGAAGGCGTTTCTTATTGCCAAGTCAATATTAGATTGGATGTAATAATCATGTAATATATTATATAATCGTTTCTGTAGGACTTGAAAGTAATTGTTGTATTACAAATGACAACAACATGCAAATAGTCGTCGTAGAGTCGGATACTGAACCCATCAAGCATTGTCGAAATTTGATATCAGATTTCCAGGGAGTTGTGGACCATTTGCATGAAAATGTGCCAACAAAAATTGGCGAGTTCATATTAAATGTTGTCCAACGAATACGTACTATCTTTTTACTACAATGAACTACATTATTTTGTTACATATGAACTAATATCAATTTTTTTTTTATAGACTATTATTTTGATAGTGGTGATCCCGAGTACGTTTGCGAGCATTGTAATGCCTTTTTTTGGTACAATGAACGGTCAAGCAATTCAAGATCATGTGACCGCCCTAAATACACCGCATGTTGTGTGAATGGTAAGATAAAGTTGCCATTGATGACAAGGCCTCCTCAAAAGTTGTATGATCTATTCTTTACATCAAGTGATAAAAACAAATGTTTTTTGAAGAATATAAGGTCATATAACAATATGTTTTGCTTCACGTCAATGGGTGGGAAGATTGATAGAACTATTAACAATGGAACATCGCCTCCCATATTCCGTATAAATGGTCAAAATTTCCACCGCATTGGAACTCTACTACCGGCACTCGGCACTCAACCTAAATTTGCACAATTATACATTCACGATACAGAGAATGAGATACAAAATCGCTCCAACTCTTTCAGGTATAATAATATTCGGGGCTACTAAACTATTTTGTTCCTGTCATTTTTAAATACTGGAAAGCTTATATTATATATTTTTATCTCTTAGGACGGAAAGCAATGGTTCTGCCGTGCATCTTGATGTAGTTCATGACATTAAGCAAGATCTAGATGATCACAATGTTTTGGTTAAGTCATTCCGAATGGCCAAGTCATTTATGCAATCTAATCCTACAAGTGAAATTAGAATGAGATTAATCGGGAAGAGATCTAAAGATGCCAGAACGTATGCACTACCAACTGCTTCAGAGGTTGCTGCTCTCATTGTTGGAGATCTAGACCCTTGCATGGGTGAACGTGATATCGTGGTCGAGTCTAGATCTGGAATGCTTAAACGAATTAGTGAATTAAACCCAGCGTATCTACAATTGCAATACCCAATTTTATTTCCATATGGGGAGGATGGTTTCAGGGAAGATATACATTTTGCAACACATAGTAATAAACAAAATTTTGCAAGAAAGAGTGTTTCACAAAGAGAGTACTTCGCGTTCCGTATTCACGAAAGATCAAATGAGATCTCAACTATATTGTACGCTAAAAGGTTATTCCAACAATTCTTGGTTGATGCGTATACTATGGTTGAATCTTCGAGGTTGCTATACATTAGGTCCAATCAAAAAGCTTTAAGATGTGAGGCGTACAAAGGTCTTTCTGATGCGTTAACAAGAGGTGAAGTGCAACCTAGCTCTCAAGGTAAAAGGATAATATTACCTTCAAGTTTCACGGAAGGAGCAAGATACATGATACAGAACTACCAAGACGCCATGGCAATTTGCAGATTTATAGGTTATCATAACCTGTTTATTACTTTTACATGTAATCCTAAATGGCCCGAGGTTCAACGCTTTTTGGAGAAAAGAAATTTGAAAGCTGAAGATCGTCCGGACATTGTTTGCCGAATTTTCAAAATGAAGCTAGATTGCTTAATAAAAGAAATAAAAAATGGGAAACTGTTTGGTCCTATAAGGGCAGGTGCTCACCACATTTCCTTATAAAATCATTTTCTAATACACTACTTAATCATACGAATTCTAGAACTAACATCATGTAATTGTTTTTGCAACAGTAATATACACAATTGAGTTTCAGAAACGGGGTCTTCCACATGCTCACATATTATTGTTCCTACAAGGGACGAGTTGCTTTGCCAATCCTGCTTTTATGGACACGATAATTTCGGCCGAGATCCCAGACAAGTTGATAGACATCGAGTATTACAAAGAGGTCGAAGAATTCATGTTGCACGGCCCATGTGGTGTTGCCAGGAGTAATTCACCGTGCATGGTAAATGGCAAGTGCTCGAAGCATTTTCCAAAGAGATTTATTGATGCATCCCATTTTGACCAGGATGGTTACCCGTTGTATCGAAGAAGGGATGAAAAGAGGACAATTAAAAAAAATTGAATAGAGTTGGACAATAGGTATGTTGTACCACATAATCGGTACTTGCTCTTGAAATACAAAGCACACATCAATGTAGAGTGGTGTAACCAATCTAGGTCAATCAAGTACTTATTCAAGTATGTCAACAAGGGTAACGACCGTGTAACGGCTGAGTTTTATAAGACTACAATGGATGAAGCTGGTAATGAGATGGTGGATGAAATAAACATGTACTATGATTGCCGGTACATCTCTGCATGCGAGACCGCATGGCGGTTGTTTAGTTTTGAAGTTCAGTACAGGACTCCACCAGTTGAGCGACTAAGCTTTCACTTGCCTGACTGCCAATCTGTTGTGTTCCAAGACGATGATACCATTGATCATGTCCTGAATAGAGAAATCGTTGGGCAAAGTATGTTTAACGCATGGTTTGTAGCCAACCAGAAGTTTAAAGAAGCGAGCTTATTAACTTACATTGAGATCCCTACCAAATTTGTGTGGAAAAAGGACATCCGTGAATGGCATCCAAGAAAGAAGGGTTTCTCAATTGGTCAGATATTCTATGTCCCACCAGCATCAGGAGAAATTAATTATTTAAGGTGTCTATTGAACATAGTCTGTGGTCCAAAATGCTTCCAAGATATTAGGACAGTTAATGGTGTTGAGTACTTGACCTTTAGAGATGCATGTTAATGAAGCAAACTACTGGTCATCTGCATATTCATTAAGGAAGTTATTTGTTGTCTTACTAACATCCTCATCAATTATTAGACCCGAAAATGTTTGGAATCAGGTGTGGCAACATTTGTCTGAAGATGCTCAACACTATCAAAGAAGAATATTAAAACAACCAGGTAATGTACGTACTTTTTGTTTATACAATAAATTCAATTAAGTTATAAGGATAATTATCTGACTGTTTGCATCGTAACAGATTTGGTCTTAACAGAGGAAGAGAAAAAGAACTTTGCATTGTTCGAATTGGAAAACCTATTGGGGCATCAAAATAAATCTTTAAAAGACTATCCTCCGATGCCAATACCAAGTACATATAATTCAAGGTTGTTTCAGAATAGGTTGATATATATTTGAAGAGTTAGCTTACAATTGTGAGCAGTTGAAAGAAGATGCTGAAGTGTTGTGTGCAAAACTAACTGAAGAACAGAGTCTCATCTATGATACGGTTATACAAGACATTGAAGAAGGTAAAGGTGGCTTATTTTTTGTTTATGGTTACGGTGGAACAGGAAAGACTTTTTTGTGGAGAGCGTTGTCAGCTGCAATCCGATCCAAAGGTAAGATTGTTTTAAATGTGGCATCAAGCGGCATAGCTTCTCTATTGTTACCAGGTGGCCGTACTGCTCACTCGAGATTTGCAATACCTATTGCAATAAATGAAAACTCAACCTGTAACATTAAGCAAGGTAGCGAGCTGGCTGAATTGTTGATAAAGACGAGTTTGATAATATGGGATGAAGCTCCCATGATGCACAAACATTGTTTTGAAGCATTAGATCGAACTATGAGGGATTTGTTGCGTTTTGTAGACCCGTGTAGTGAAATGAAGACGTTTGGTGGTAAAACAGTTGTTTCGGGTGGAGATTTCCGTCAAATCCTCCCGGTAGTCCCAAAAGGTACACGGCAAGATATTGTTTCTTCAGCCATAAATTCATCATACCTATGGGATAGTTGCAAAGTTTTAAGGTTGACTCAAAACCTTAGACTATGTTCGGTACCCAATGGTGGAAATCGACAGGCCTTACAAGAATTTGCCGATTGGATTGCTAATGTCGGTGATGGAAAGCTGGGTGGGCAGAATGATGGTTTCGCAGAGGTTGAAATTCCAAAACACATGTTACTGTCAGCTGGAGCGGATGATATTAAAACAATTGTGCAGAGTACATTTCCTATGTTTGCAAATGGAAACACTGACCCCGAGCATCTAATAGGTCGTGCTATATTAGCACCAACGCTCGATGTGGTCAACGCAGTAAATGAATATATGACTGAGTTGCATAATACCGAAAGCATATCGTACTTCAGTTCAGACGCAGTATGCAAAGCCGATGGCGACAACGGTATATTTGGAGATGTACACACACCGGAATTTCTAAACAGCATTAGGGTTTCAGGTCTACCAAATCATGCATTGACTTTGAAAATAGGATCCCCGGTAATGTTAATGAGAAACATTGACCATTCTCTTGGTTTGTGCAATGGGACTCGGTTGATAATCACAAAGTTAGCAGACCATGTTATTGAAGGCGAGATTCTGACTGGACCTAACAAAGGTACAAAAGTGTTGATCCCCCGAATGTCAATGTCACCCTCTGATCCAAGATTGCCGTTCAAATTTCAACGAAGGCAATTCCCAATTATGATTTCATATGCAATGACCATTAACAAAAGTCAAGGACAAACGTTGACTCATGTTGGTTTAATACTAAAGAAACCGGTTTTTGTACACGGCCAGTTGTACGTTGCTGCATCTCGGGTTAACAATCCAGACGGTCTCAAAATATTGATAGTCAAAGACCCAACTTCAACTACTTCATCAACCACTAATGTTGTATATCATGAGGTTTTCAATAATCTGTAATTTTGTAAAGTCCTCTTTTATTAGTTCCGTGACCTTGCAACTATTTGTAATATACCATTTTCATATTGTTTTTGTTGAATTTCCAATCATATTTCATTTATATGTTATCAATTTTAAGCTCATTAGTTCTCACAATTTGTAACATAACATACACACAATAAATACTTTTTAATTTACATACCGTGCAGCGCACGGGTCAAATACTATTACTGAAGAATAAAAAGCAATTATATATGTCAATAATAGATGTAAATTGGAGAAATGGCCATAATGGATAATGAAATCTATTTCACAAGCTAAGGTTGTCCATGGCCATGTCTTATTAGGGCGACACAGGTGACACCCAAGTTTTGGGGTTCAATTTTTTTTATTTATCTTAAAGGCAGATATAATTTATTACTTTTATGCTTGATAATAATGTTTATAAAATTCAAAAGGTGGTTTTAATTGAAATTGAAAATAAAACTTTAAAAGAAATTGATATTTAAATTTTGGCAAAGAATTTTGTATCTAATAAATATACAATAAAATGTCATTTTTAAGATAAATTTTAAATTGTATTTCTTTTCTTTATTGAATATTTGAATGTTTATGCATTTTATTTTGACAAAAAAAATAATTTATTGTACACTTTTTTTTTTTATTTGTACATATATAATAATTTAAATAAAACTTGATCTAAATTTAACTAATAGGCAAGACCCCCATTTTTAGGGGAGGGTACTGTACTCTTTCATATATACAAATGATGACATATAACTAGTACACAGATCATAACCAAGCAGGATATGAATTTAATATTCAAGACATAGTAAAATTAAAAATAGAAAAAGAAAGAGAAAGGTGTTTATTGTTAGTATTAATATAGCGCACACATAGACGGGCGGGATTGATATGATGAAGTGAAATGGAGGTTTTCTCAGCACTTGGGAATTGTAACCTTGCAGAGTTCATTGGCTTTCTTGGCAGCTGGGGACTTGATGATATACTCATTCAGAGTGGGACTCTTGACGTATTCGCAGAAGCAAGGCTTATGTTGATTAAGCCTCTCGCAGCAGAGTGGTGATGGGTTGGCATTGAGCGTTAAGGCGCTAAAGCAAGGGTCGAGCTGCTTCGCGTCGCAAGCAGCCAACGAAAATTGTGCTTCTCCCAAGAGAAGCAATACAACTGCTAGTGTGATGAGGTTAAAGGCCTTCATTTTTGTTAGCATTAATGCAATTGATCTGATCTGATAATATAATCATCTCTCAAGGCCCCATATATATATGGACATCCAGTTAACGTGTAAGAGGAAACTTGGGGCTATGATGCATCTTTGGCTTAGTGATTCGGAGAATTTATAGAGAGATTTTGGATGTTAATTAACCAATGGTAAATCTTACGTGCAGCATGTTATTTACCTTTGTGCTTATGTATGTTAGGCACCGTACTCTCATCTAATGGCTATGAGAAAATGTTAAGTTAATTGGTTTGAAGCTTCATTCTTTTTTGGTTTTTATTATATATATATATATATATATATATATATATATATATATATATATATATATATATATAGGCGGGTTCAGGTGTGGCAGTGTCTTACGGTGCGGTTATTTCTTACGGTGCGGCAACACCAATAGTTCACCAAATATGCACCATCAACGTTAGGAAATACACCACACAAAACAGAGCCCTGCATCACCAAACACACACCATTAGGTGTGAGTAAAAACACCATACACTCAGGGCCGGCCCTGGGGCAAGGGCAGGCTGGGCCCTTGCCCAGGGCCCAGCTTGGGGGAGGGCCCCATCCTATCTCTTATATATATAGTATATATGCATTGAGTGTAAGTAATTTATATACATATGTTTTACAGTATGGTAAATTAGTTTGGTTGGTAAGATATTTGAATTTTAACCTCATTTAATCAAAGGCTGGTGATCCAAACCTTCCCTTCACATTTTAGAATTCCTCAACTTTACTTCTTTGCTTATATTCTAATGTATCTTTAAAAAAATTATTTTTATTGATTTTTTGTGTTTAATACGGAGTAGTATTTTTCATGTAGTTTTTAAATATATAAATTTTCATATATTTATACTAAACATATTATGAAAATTTTTTATATTAAATATATAAATTTTTATATTAAAATTTTAATGCAGTTTCTAAATTTATAAATTTTTATATACTTATACTAAACATATTATAAAAAAATTGAATTAAAAAAAGTTCAATAAACTCATGTTAATCAAACAAGACACGTAAAAATAGGACGGAGGGGGTTATATGATATATTTTGAGATTGAATTATAAAAAAAATTAAAAGATAATTTACTCCGTACCTTTTTATGAATATCTAATCAATGTAATATAGAAGCTTCTATCATGTGTCATTGTATTCAAATTATTCTAAAAAACTTGAAATTTTATGTATTT